GTGTGTTGAAAAAGAAGGAAAAGTTATTGATGTGATGAAAAATATTATTTTATTGAAGAATGAGTTGTTGAAAATGAGTAGAAAAATGAGAATGAGAATTTTAATGTGACTCAAACAGGAGCTTATGGTATTTTTGGTAGAATATGGTGATGGCAGAGAGTGCATATGCGTTGATTTGGAAGGGTGTCGGCAGTAATTACAATGGTGGGTGGTGGTTGTGACGGTAAGTGTTTGTACCAACAATCATACGGTGTAAGTAACAATTTCAAAGAAATTATAAATACTGTAACATTATTTAAATATAAATTTACAAGAGCACAAGTCATAATCATGTAACTTATTAAAGGGTTGTGTTATGGGTACATAGCACAATACATAAGTGTGTCCATAATGGACACAAGGAGACCCCCTATTGGGGAGGTACCTGAGCCAGCAGGCACCTCCCCAATATGGGGCCTCCATGTGTCCATTATTTTCCAATATTAAATGCGTGGGTTCTGTACAAAAATTATAGAAAAGTAACATACAAAAATTTACATACGTTATAACAAAAATAATAGATTTGAATCCCCACTTGACTTTTAAATATTTTTTAATTCACATGATTTATCAACTTGGTACCCCAAATGTTAGAAGCTGCCTATTTCATTGCAAAAATAATGGTTTTTGGTCATTTCACAAATTTAATCTAGAAAACAGCAGTCTTATTCTTTTACTTTTAAGCAAACTTACTTACTGGTGAACGTCTTTAGCTTAAATAGCTTATAGCGTGTGGATCAATTTGTGGTTTAGGTATTGGTAATTCTTAAAAGCTAGAAGTGTTTACTTGCTAGGAGTGATGACAAAGCTAATAATGCATGAGAATTTTTGTACAATTGATTAACAGTAATGATAAATCATCGGTGAAGCGACAACCCATTATCAATCACATCTCTTTCTCATTCCCATTTCTCTCATATAAATTGAATTGTCCAATTTTATTATTCCACATAAATAGTCATATAACCGATGATTTATCATCATGATGATAAATAGCATTATTTTAACAGAAAACATCCTCAACTTGGTTTGAGTGAAGTTTTTTGTTTTCTCGTTTGATTCAACTTGACCTGAAAAAAAAATTCACTCTCATTCTTACTAACAATATTAGTCAGCAACAATAAGAAAAAGAGGCGATTTCTTATCTCAATCCAAACTTTGTATTTAGACTGTGTTTGACCTTCATCTTTCCGATACTCATTTTCATTCACATATTTCATGAGTTTAAAGTTTTTATCAATTTTTCAATCATACAATCAATCAAATTTTATAAGGGGTAATTAGCACAAAATGTCTTCACATTTCACTATTTTTGTACAAAACGTTCATACCTTCTTTTTTGACATTTTCACACGTAATTACATTTTTCGTTGCGCAAAACGTCATTTCCATTTATTTCCATCCAACTTTTCATTTCAAGCGTATTCTCGTCTTAAACTTTTTTTAATCTTTCTTCCCCATTTGCCTTTTTTTTCTCTTTTAAACCTCTAATCATTTGACTCGTGGATTCAAGTTAGTTCATTGGAACACTAAGACAAAATTTGGGGAATTGGTTGAGATGGCCATCTCACAATATCCTTTTTTTCAAAAGTTCTTTGACCAATTTCTAAAAAATAAAAGAAATTTTAATTATTTTAAAGTCTCAAAAGTCCATTTTACCCTTCCATTAACCAAATAAATGAAGGATTTTGGCTTTTCCCTTCATTCATTGACGTAAACCCTTCTTCCTAAATTCACAATTGTAAAATTAAATCTTCTTCTTCTTCTTCTTCTTCAGATTCTCAAACACTTCTCATTCAAGTCAAAAACAATATTTCTCCTTCTTCTGTTGAGGCCGAAGATTGTGCATAGTTTTAAAATTAACAGTTTTATATGTCAAGGTTGAGGTTCGAATCTAGCTTCTGTGTTTCCATTAAACGACAAGCTCACGGTTAGAAAAATCAATGTAAGTTTTCGAACTAGCAAGGAGTTCTATGTATAGTGTTCAAAATGTGTTCAATTTTATCAGTACATATTCTTCTTCTTGTCTAGTTCCTCTATTGAGTTTTTAAGTTTATTGATTTGAACTCTATGAAATTCTAATGAAAATTACATTTTTTGCTATAAAGATCATTTTTGTAACTTTTATTCAAGTTCTCTTTGAAATATTTGCATTGGAAATTCATGTTGAGAATTGGTGGTTTTGGAGTTTTGGTTCATCACTTCATGTTTAGCAAATTCGTTTTATTGAGTTCTATAATGATTTCTTGGGGGTTTCATTTCCTGTTTATTTTCTTAATTATGTTTTTTTATGTATAAATATGCTGTATCTAATAAGGTAAAAATGAATTCATTAAAAACCTTATGGTTATTTGTAGTTTAATTACTCAATGGATATAATATTTGTAATTGTTCTGTGTGCTTTATTGTCTTTGAAATTTGTTGAAGATTAATGTTTAATTGTCAAATTTAGTAAATTGCTAATTAAGTCCAAATTCTGTTTATCTTATGTTCTATCTATACATATGTGTGTATGTGTGTTTGTTTGTTTGTGTTGTAAACTACATATAACAAATGAGAGCAACTAGTTTTTTACTTGGACGAGTTTTTAGGTCAATATTTGTTGCATGGCCTTCCCCTCACTATAATGGTATAAACAAACAATACTCTTGACTAGTATTATTTTTTATATATAAATTTGTGTTGTGAGATAATAATATTTGTTTTACAATAGATTTGGGCATTCGAAGCAATTCCAACATTGAGAATGAAGTTTTCTACGAAATATTCGGATGCAATTCCAAGAATGGTCGCTTGGAAAATGCCGAAGATGTCAGCTTCAACAGTCATTGATAACATGTTAGAATAGAAAAATGTAGATTGCCTTTTTTTAAGTTTAGTGGGGACAAATTGTGGAATTAGCTTAGCGAATGATTAATGATTTGCACGATTTAATATTTGCAGCTGGAGGTTAATTCTATATTGATTCTCGCTAAAGTCGAACTCGAGAAGGCTTATTGGAAAGAGTTGACACTGATCGTGGAAAAACATGAGAATGCTTCACACCATTCCGAAGAAGATGAGGTTGAACATGATACCGAGCCACATCATGATTCCACCAAAACTCTCCTAATACATCTCAACCACCACTAGTATCTTATGAGCTCAATGTCGCGGTTTTATTGAGAACCAAAATGGAAAAACTCGAGAGAAGGCTACAAGCAGTCATTTCAAGTTTACATGTTGTATATGTCCAATATATTGATACTGTGCATATTTATGTAACGCTATACACTTCATTCCTGTGATATAAAGTAGTTGATGTTGTTCCAATACAAAAATGCACTCATTCAAATAATGACATTGAAATTGTTCTTGAGACATAAAAACAAAGTAGATGTCGTTTCAATATGAAAATTGCACGGATTAACATAACGATATTGAAATCATTTCTGAAACACAATACGATTTAGATATCGTTTCAGCACAAATTGTGAAAGAAAAGAAAGCTAAAATTCAATTAGAGTTAGATGATAATTGAAATGGGAATTAGGGCAATTAATGCACTTTTTACCTATGAGGACATTTTAGTAATTTACAAATTCTATTTTTCATTTCTTTGTATATTTAGACTATCTAACTAAAAAAGATAGATGTTGGTCTTTATAAACTAATTTTTCTTTAACTGGACCTTTTAAATGAAAGCCCAGTAAAATTTGCCATTCTAAACCTTTGGTGTCCGCCTCTTTTCTCGGGTAACTTCAGTGATTTAAAATCAAATAAACTTGGCTTTAATTTTCCATTTCCTGGGGTTGTAGAAAATGTTGACGAGAATTCAAGAAGTGTAGGAGAGATTCTTGTGACGAAAGTTTGAGAAATCCGTTGTTGATTGGGGTCACTAAAAAATTTTACTAGACTTTTTAGAGGGGTAAAAATTGCTCTGGTGGGAAATTATGGTTAAAACTTTAGTGCAGTTTTCTTCTATTGAGACTGATTGGGATTTGCATCTGCTGCCCATTACTTCTTTCAAACCTTCTCCCATTGAAGGTGTGTGCTCCAAGTCCAAGTGAGCTCTGAATTTGTATAATGTTCATTTAATATATATTTTAAAGTATGTCTCAGTGCTCCAATAACTCGCTCCGTTTGACTTCTCTCACTCTGGCTGGTGGTGTTTGTCTCAGCTGGTGGAGTGAAATATGAAAACACCCACTTGAGCACAAATACATAAATTCCAATCATCTAAAGGAACCAAAACTTTAATTACTTTTTCCAATCCATTATTGTTTCCCCGACTAAACTAGTTATTTTCAAATGTTTAATCAGATGAAAAAATGGGTTCAGCTGAGGAAAAAAAAGGGAAAAAATAAAATTAAGACGAAAATACCCTTCACTCAAATGAAAAACTGAAATGAAATGGATGGAAATGAAATTTTGTGCAATCGGATGTATAATTAATTAAGAATGAAAATACCAACAAAATGAAAGGTAGAAACGTTTTGTACAATAATAGTGAAAAGTAGGGACCTTTTGTGCTAAATACTCATTTATTAAAATTTTGATTTTTAACAAAATCAAATATGAACTCGATAGAGTGTAAGTATATAAATTTATAAGCTGCTCTAATAGGAAACATTGTACTTGAAAAAACCTATTTCATAATTACCAAACTTGGAGAAAAATTTCAAAAATCAAGTCTTAAATAAATAAAAATAAAAATATAATTCTAATACATATTTTACAACTTAAATAATGATAATTAATCATCATTATCGTCACATAAAAATATAGTTTTTATTCCTTTTTTTATAACAAACTCTCTCGCCTAACATATATCGTTTCTCACAACACATTTTATCTCTACCTTTCACTCTCTCTAAAAACGATTCATACTTCATTATCAACATGTTTCCATTGATTGAGTCACGGTGTCATCCTCAGCTATTTTAGCACTTTCTTGGACCTCACTATCAATTCCATTCACGATGGCAGCAGAACTGAAGGAGCGAGAAGAGCAATTGACAGATTTAGAGGAGTGGACGACATACCAAGAAGAGCAAAAAGCAGAAATAGAAGAACGAAGTATAAGCCACACAGTAAGTAGAAACATTTGTAGTTTTGAAATTGGAAGACTTAATGGTGCCACTTCAATGAAGAATTCAAATTTAAGATGGTAGAACGGGAGAAAGTTGGTGAGTGGAGGGTAGGTTTCTTGTAGAATGATGGTAGTGGTTTATAAATTGGAATTGGATGTCAAAGCCCATTATATTTTGATCCTTTGAAAACCTGCAAGTGCACGGGAACGTAGTCAAGTAATATAATGATGAATAGAGTGACGTACCTGAAAGGACTATGTGTTTGATTGAGTTGAAATTAATTGCAACTTTAATCAAATATTAAACAAAAAATTGTGATTTTTTTATACTAATCCATAAATTATCAATTAAATCAATGAAAGTAAATAAATATGTTTTTCAAATATGTGAGATGCATTGTTAAGATGTCGAATCACCATCATTATTCCATTTTTAGTGTAACAATTAAAGTGACAATTTGAAATCATTCATGTTGGTCAATATTTCTAATTTAATTGAAAGCTTCTCTCGATAGCGATCAAATCTATTCCCCTCATGTGACTTTCATCTCTCGATAAAAGATGCAAATATGATAAATACATTAACAATTGTTATAACACTTGTGGAAATCATATAAAGCATATATCTATATCTATATCTTCTATCGAACTTTACAATATTTATTATATTGTACTTAAATCCTATTGTCTCACTTGATTACAATAAAATTCACTAACAATTCAATTGGTAATCAATCAATTGAAAAGAACGATAAAAACAATAATATATATCAACAAATCAAATCAAATTAAAGTCAAAATAATTAATTAAAAACTAAAAATATCGTAACAATGGTTCATTTCATCATAACAATGTATAAAATTAGCCTAAAATATCGAAAATATAAGAAATCATATTTAAGTGAAAAGACATAATCTGGATTTTTGATAAATTGAGAAGATGAATCTTGAAATTTTAAATCTTTTCAATGGTTTCTTGATGGATCTCCACTTGCGCCTTCTTTTTTACCCAAAAATCAAGTTTAAATCTTCACTTGATTGAATTATTGTAAGTCACCTTCAATTCTCTCACAAAAATTATGAATCTTCCTTTTTTGATGAAAATAATTGATAAATATTGGAGTATAATATATATATGAGAAGTCTCTAATATATATTCTATTGTTATATTTTGTAGGAGTAGAAAATTGATTGAAAATCACGTCCAAATTGGTTTCCAAAAGAGCTCAAATCGAATAGGGAAAGTTTCATTTGTGCGCGGATTTTTTTATCTCTGCACAGCTGTCAGTAGTTTGCTCATAACTATCTCTCTCGATATCCAATTGAAGCGATTCAAAGTACGTTGAAAATATATTTCAAAGGGATACAACTTTACTAGAAATATAATTTTTCCAATTCGGACATTTACTATACCAAAAATGGGTCTCAATTTTCGACTAAAAAATTGTAATATAACTTGTGCGATTGAAAATTGATTTTGATAATATTTTGATCGTATTCCATTTATTTTTAAATTCTAATTCCATCCAATTGTCTCCTAAAATTTTTCAAAGTATCATCTTGCAGTCTAAATCAACTATTAACTATTTACAATTTGGTCCTTAAACTTTGAACTTTATCATCTTTTTTTTCTTGATTTTCTTTTGTTTCTTCCAATTTCTCGTTCAACCATTAAGTTTAACTTATATAACATAAAATGCAACAATTTAGGATATATTTTATCAAAAATTACTAAATATCAATATTTTAAGTTTCGAATAAGTGTATAAAATACAATTATCAGTATCTATTCGTGAACTCATCTATATGTGACCATCGTTTCTACTATTTTTTTTTTTAAATTTAATCTTAGATTTCTATCCTTCATGGTTGTAGCAATTGTTGTGACCAGTGCATCTCGTTTGTGAACTTCTTTTATGTAAACTGAATTAAATTTGTGATTGTTTTGATTATCTTTTAATTTCTAATTTCTAACCTTCATGATTGTAACCATTGCTATTTTCTGTGATCAGCGATGTTATCTTCAAATGGTACCATTTAACCACAAAGAGGGAAAATTGAAGGTAAAGAAATAGCAAAACCAATTCACATATTTCAACATTTTTTTTTTTTTTTTTGTAATAACATCAAGATATTCTTTATGCTTATAAGTTCTTTCGATTTATTCAAATTTTGTGTATTATTGGATTTTCTGAATTCAAATACTATTCTAATAAGATTTACCGTTGATCATGCATTGTGATTTATCTTGTGACATAAAAAGTCAATAGTTTTTAACAAGAGTCTGTATTTCCTAAAATGTTTGCATGAATGTGGCTTATTAAATTTTTTTGTGTTGTTTGGGATCGTGTCTATCTTAATAGTGACTGTTTGTGATTTGATGTGTTAACTGTTATCATTTGTGATCGGCATATGTTAACTATGACTATTTGCGATTAGGTCTGTATTAACTACGATCATTTGTGACCAAACCTATATTAATAAGAGTCTGTATTTTCATAAGCTTCCGGTTATAAAGTTTTAAAAGGAGTCTATATTTTATAAAATGTGTGAATGAAGGTGACATATTTGATGCGTTTTCTGTGTTGTTTGTGACCAGTTTGTGTTAACTATTACGGTTTGTGTCCAGGTCTATGCTATCTGTAAATGTATATGATCAAATCTGTGTTAACTGTGATTGTTTTTTATTAGGATTGTGTTAATTGTGATTGTTTATGACATGAAATGCATTGAATATGACCTACTATTTTACGATGTGGCTTGTTTATAGCAAGTGCATTATCAACATCTTTTTCTGTACGGAAAGCTACCTAAATTTAGTTGATATAAGCCCGAATGATTCCATTCATTTACATTGATTTCATTTCATACATTAAAGCTATAAATAAATAAATAAATAAATAAACCTCAAAATGTAATAACAATCACAAAAAATTATCGGGATTTTGTTGAGGTTCATACATGCATTGATCCAGTTGAAGAATCTGCTTCAGAGCATCTACTCTGCCTAGCGTATCTTACCGCCCGCCCGAGTTCTATATACTCGGTTCCACAATCCCATCCCTAGTATTACAAATGTGATAAAAAGCTGTGACTTATAATTTGAATTGAACATGCCACAGTTACATATAACACAATTTATGGGTCACGGTTACATCAAATTATAATTTACGAGTCACAATCACATATTAAATCATTGAATTTATAGGTCACAAATCTCTTCTCTCTCATTCACAATCCCAGGCACATACCATTTACCACCATCAATAATCACCACTCCATCACTCAATTCGCACACATAAGAGATAATCTTTTACGGAAGAGATTGGTCAGGATTAAGTTAAATATTACAGGCTAGCTTTTTGGGATGAGCACAATAGTTGTGGAATTAATTGCACAACGAATTTTCTCTCATTCAACAAAAAGTTCTCCTTTTAGGTCCAATGCTCATCAAGGCTTCAATAATATCATCCACAGGAAATGGCATTTGGAGCCTATTTAATACTAATAATGATTGATTTGTGGACTGTTTCAATAGAAGATTTTGGAAGATTATTTGGGTGAAAGGCTAAAAGCATGATGGAGACATGGAAGAAAGGGGATGTAGTGAGAGAAAGTAGCGTGGCAATTATGGTAAATTAAAAATTTGATAATAAGATTAAAAAGGGTTAAGATATTAATTATCATTATTTATTTCTATAATCAATTTATTAATATTTCAATTTAAATTAATACCTGATTTATGAAAAAATAAATAAAGTTAAAAGATATGAATTTGCTTAATTTTCCCAAAATAGATTGATTTGCATTTGTAAGGCCCATACTAAAGTTGTTGGTCCCGGACCCAGGCCAGTGGGCAGGCCCAGACTACCACAGCAGAAGGGTACAACAAAACCCTAATTGCACCATCGCGCCATATAGGGTTAGGGTTTGTGGCCTTCGGTTTCAGTGAAACAAGTAAACACAGAGGCGCATCTCAGACCACTCTCCGCCACCATGGGTCGCATGCACAGCCGCGGGTATCGATTCTCTCTCTATTGAATCAAATACTTTTCTTGTCTGCCTAATTAAGCATTACACTGATTTCATAGTGTTTTCTTGTAATTATAGTAAGGGTATTTCTGCTTCAGCATTGCCTTACAAGAGAACTCCTCCCAGCTGGCTCAAAATCAATTCTCAAGATGTGAGAAATTGTCGTATCATATAAAATTTGTACATTTCTGAACTAGTTTTTACAGTTGTTTGATTCGCACTTATCCTTTTTCTCCAGGTTGAGGACAGTATCTGCAAGTTTGCAAAGAAAGGAATGACCCCTTCACAGATAGGTGTTATTCTACGTGATTCTCATGGTATTGCTCAAGTGAAGAGCGTCACTGGTAGCAAGATCTTGCGTATACTCAAGGCTCACGGTATGGTTGATTTTGGCTACCTACTGATTAATTCACTGTTTTTCATGTTAATGAGCTGCGATTAGATCTTACTGGGTTTCCAGATGATAATGAGTTGTGTATGAATTTGATGCGTTTTATCTATAGGGCTTGCGCCCGAGATTTCAGAGGATTTGTATCATTTGATCAAGAAAGCTGTTGCCATTAGGAAGCACTTGGAGAGGAACAGGAAGGATAAAGACTCCAAATTCAGGTTGATTCTTGTGGAGAGCAGGATTCACCGCCTGGCAAGATACTACAAGAAGACCAAGAAGCTCCCGCCCGTCTGGAAATAGTACGCCCTTCTCTCGTCAATTGTTTTCTTGCATTTTAATGACTTGTTACTATTCTGGATGACCTTAATTGTGTGATTGCATAGTTATAAATACCTCATCCCTTGGATGTGTTTTAGCTGGGGATTGTTATCTGATAAACTATGCATTCTCTTTGTTGTTTGGTTTAATCTGATTGAATAACTCTATGGCTGTCATTCTTGGATATGATTTAGCTGGGGATTGTTGTTTGGTTTTGAATCTGAATGAATAACTTTATGGCTGTCATTCATTTGGCAAATTTCGGGGCTTACAGTATTTTCCTTCTGTTTTAGATATGTTTCAATAGCATAATAGTTGTGATGTTATGTCTAGAACTGTGTGTGTGGAAGGGGGGAGGGGTAATAAGTTTTTACTGCACTTTGCCAGCTTCTTGTTACCCAGGGCTTGTTTATATTACTAGTTTCTTGTTTCTTCAGGAGGTTAGAAATCATAGTTGGTGTTTGTGTTTCTAAAAAAACAAAGGAAACCAGTTATGCAGTTTGATCTACTATACGTTAAGAAATGTCCCCTTTTGAGTCTATTCTGTCTTAAGCAATTAAAAACTGAAAGGAAAACTGTGAATTGGAGCAAAGACTGGTTCAGTTATATGATAATAACAGTTTAGGGTAAAACAGAACATTTCTTTTACCAACTGTGTTCTTCATCTACGCTGTTCACTATAGGTTGTAGGTCTTAGATTTGTTATGGGACCAGAGCACAAATTTAAAATGAAGAGAGGACCTGTGGTGAAGGAATGTGAGGTTTTAGTACTTATTATTTAAATTGTTAGTGAAAGTTGTGTGTGTTAATCACTGTTTTTTAAACTGGCTGGTGTTGAATTGGAAAATGTAATGACTTACGGGCCTAAGGGTTAACATGGTTGAACTGGAAGTTATAAATAATGTTGTATACATAATTTATAAATGTAAATTAGTCGATATAAAACAAAAATTATACTTACTATTGAACATTCACTTTGAAAGTCCTCTCTCCAGTAGAGGGAAGCCCCACCATTTTCTTTATCTTAATCTCCCAAACTAACTCTCCTATAGAATAGAAATTCCTATATCAGGACCCAACCCAACCCATTCCACATCCATATTATTTTCTTCACCATGGATCACCTTTCCTTTCATTACTGTTCTCGTTCCCTTTCTTTGAACTTTGCATCTAGATTTCTCTTCATCCCCATTTTCATTCTTTAAAACCCGAGGTGTGGGGCGTACAAAAGTTTTTGAACGTGTGGCCAATGATTTTTCTTTTGTTTTTTTTTTTTAGAGAAAATTGGACAAAATTGCATTTTAAAACTGGACCAGCCAGCTGTGCGTTTTTTCTCCATGCAGATTTTATCGTATAACCGGACAAAATTATCTCTGGTTTGTATCAGTTGAATGGGCTTGGCTGGGCCAATTTTTACAGCATTAGTTTTATTTGAGAGGTGTCAAGTGTTTATATTGTGGAGAGAATTTTTTATTGGAAGGATGCTGTGAATAGACTGAGGAGTCAAAGGGAGAAGTAACAAGTTGTGAATAGGAGCACAAATTTCGAAGTGTCAAATATTGGAAATATGTTTCTACAGTTGTGTTTGAAATTGATCCATCTGAATTAACAACATAGCTTTGTCAAATATATCTTTGGCTTAATTAGAACTTTATTGTTTAGATATTGATATAAATTCTAAATTATATTGCTGAAATTTAATACACTCTTAGTTTAACCCGAGTGGAGCGTGTCAACCCTTTACCTTTTTCTGTTCAGCACTTGGGCTGGGTTAAAAAAAAAAGTGTTTTTAAAGCTTTTAACATTTTGATTTTTTAGCATAACATTTCAATATATACACTTTTTGGGTCTTTGACAAGTAATAGCAAGATTTAAGCCCAACTGTTTCAAAGTATGTTCTCTATTGGTATCACTTGTCTTTGGATTCAATGCTTGCTTGCTTGCGTGATTTGGCAAAGCTTAAGGACAAAAAAGTTAATAATTTTTGTGAATAAAGCTATCACCTACTTATTTTGCTGGTGCTACATTGTTGTATCACTTTTAACTATCATGTCTGTCTTTGCTAAGATAGTTTCATGGACTCTCTGTATTCAATAATCTGCCCTATTTATTTGGAGAATTCTTTGTTATCTGAATTTTTTCTTTTGCTGCTGCTGTTTTGTTATCTATATTTTTGGGGGACAATTATTCTCTGTCCCCTGCTAAAAAAGAAAGAACATTTTTCCTGATGACAACTTTTCCATTCGCAGCGAGTCAACCACGGCCAGCACTCTCGTGGCTTAAGCTAGGTAATTGTCTGGATTACTTTTTGATCGTCCTGAGGATGTGGATGCTGTGGTTCACTTTGTGGACAAGATTGTATTCTCCTATTTTCATTATTTGATATTGTTACCGGTGACTTGGCTAAAGTTTTTGACATCTCAGTTCTTTTTACATGCGGTCTTGCAATATTTTTATAGCAAGGATTTTCGAGACTTGAAAATTCATGTTGAAACTTTAACAAGTGGCTTTAATGATTTTATATGAGTGCGTATTGTCAGTTCTATTGAATGCATTTTGTTGTTTGTTGTAACACAATTTTTAAGTTTGCTAAGGGTCCGTTTGGCATGACTTTTACTTTCAATAGGGAAGTTTTTTGAGGAAGCTACTTTAATTTTTGTTTGGAAGTGTTTTTAGAGGAAATCACGTTGGAAATCTCTAAAAAGTTTTTCTAACTAGAAGCACTTTCATAAAAACTAGTAAAACGGATTCAAAAGGGGCCTTTGAATCTTAAAAAGGGGAAATTACATAAAATTAGTTGTTTAGTTTCAAGTTTCAGAAAATCAGGTTTATGCTTTATTTAATCAAAAATTAAGTTTTAATTTTACAATTAATATTAATAATAATATTTTAAATTAAATTAATCTATATATTCACCATACCACCTATTCTATTAAATTTCAAACCCATTTCCTAAACCCTAATCAATTTTCTCCTCCTCTCTCTTTCGTCTCTTCTTCTCCCTCCCCTCTCATGATTGGTAGCGAACAGCAGCGTTGATGTTGCTGTCAGCATGATGCTGTTGCCAGCCTCGCGATGCTCCTAGCATAGCAGTGTCGTTACTGGCAACAGCATCGCGATCGAGTTGTTGCATGTAGATGTGGCTCGGCGATGGGTATGTGGTGAGGTTTGTAATGCAGAAAATGTCTAAGAATAGTTGTGTTGTAATTGTGTCGATGGATTTGAGGATTTTTTTTTATTTCTTTTTTTGGGATTTGAGGTGGTGGTTTTGTTGGATTTGGTGGTGACTGTGATTTTTGTTGTGTGCATGGCGATAGGGTGATCGTGGCGGGATGGGATGAGATTAGGTTTGTCAGTGACCAATGATTTATTTATTATGGCGGTGGTAGTGGTGGTGTTGTGACGGGGCGATGATGATGGTGATGCTATGTAGGCGGCGACGGTTGTGGGTTGGGTGTTGGTGGTGGTGGTGTTATTGTTGGTAAGCGGAGGCGGCGGCGACGAATAGATGGGACGAAGAGTGTATGTGACCAACTATTTGGTCGATATGTGATCAAGTATTTGTGGTGTATTTGGATTGTAGGACAGGCGCTTGGATGTATGTGACCAACTATGTGGTCCGTGACTTTAAAATTCGTTAATATGTGACTCAAAATATAATATGTAATCAACATATTTGGAAATATGTGATCTCTATGACCTATATTTTTTTTAACTTGTGACCAATTAAAAATTTGTGACATATAATTTTTTTTTATCAGTGACCAATGGAGTCAATTGTGAGCTATAAATTTTTGGATTTGTGATTTCGAAATAATTTGTGACCAATTAATTTGATAAGTTGTGACATAAAATTAAATTTTTAACTACTTAATAATATATATGTGACAACGGAATCAGAGCAGTTTGTCACGGACTTGTTGTTTTCTCCAAGCACCGTGCGCCCCTTAGTGTCTCCAACTTCCGCCCCTGCGATTTTTACACTAAGTCAGCCTCCCACTCTAGCGTTGAGGTCTTAGAACGGCACCAAATAGA